CGGTCCGATCGCTCCGAGGCGCCGGAGGAGCGTGGGCGCGGGGGGCCCACATCCTTCGGCCCTAGCTTTCAATTCAACGCGCAGAACCCTCCGCGAATTGGGGCGTTCCAGAATGGGCCTCGCCTTAGGCTTGGCATCGCTCGGACGTGAGCATTTTTTCTCGGCGGGGACCATCGAGGAGCGTCCTGGATCATCGAGCCAAAAAGGCACGCATGAAGTCGAAGAATGGACGCGAGAGCGACGGCAAGTATAGCGGAATCGAGAAGCTGCCATCCCGTTCTCGACGGAAGGTTGGCGGGGAGTGAAACGGCGGCGGGCCCGCTGGGGCGAGCCGGTGGAGGGCCGGCCTTAAGGGCCGGGTGAAGCAAAGATCTGTTTTTCGAGAAACGCGAGGTTTGGGATTCGGGGTCTCTGGAACGAGACATCTCGACTCGATCGATCCGATCCCAGACTGCCGGTCTCTCCAAGCTCGACCCAGTACGACCTCGTTTTGGGTGGGCGCTCTGGAGCGACGGCCGGCTGTTGCCCGGGCCCTGGGCCTCCTGTCCCAGGGGAGGAGGAGGAGGAGGAGGAGGAGGAGGAGGAGGAGGAGGAGGAGGAGGAGCAGGAGCAGGAGCAGGAGGAGCAGGAGGGAGGAGGAGCAGGAGGACGAGGAGGACGAGGGTGTGGAGGGCTGGGGAGAACCGGATATCCCAGGGTCCGTGAAGGGGAGGGGATGCGGAGGCCGGGCGGCCCGAGCGTCGAACAAAGCGTGGCGTTGGGGAACCCCATTATTTAATCGCTTCGCTCATTCCGCCGTCCCTGGAGCGCTTGGGCTCCCCTGGGGCCTCTTAGGGGGCTCTTGGGGGCCCCTTGGGGCGGGAGGGGGGGTAGTCGATTGCAGCCACCCCCTCGGAGGCCACGATCCTCGTGAGTCGTGGCGAAAAATAGCCTCCCCCCTGGGGATCGCCCGGGACCCAGCGGGGGATCAGCCAGGGTACTTTTCGTCCGGGGGCCCCCAGGGGCTGCCCCGCGCGCGCGAACTAGAAATATTGTTAAGTAGTTACCGGAGATCTTAGCA